CCCCAAAACCCCAAAACCCCAAAACCCCAAAACCCCAAAACCCCAAATTCTGGTAATTTCTGATTAAATTATGGATCTTAGGCAACTTTGCACTTGAACAAGTATTTGATCTCCACTTGGTCAACATCATACACAATGTACTCGCTATAGCTCCCCCAGCTTGGAGAGCGTGGTGTTTGATTGAATGGTCCGATCTGAGCCATTGATCCATCAACTTTGACTTGCTTTGAAGCTTCTCTACTTCCAACAGCAAAAGTGGAATGGGTTCCTTTTGGAAGATTCATTGCATTGTATGAAGAACTGGTAAGCTCTCTCTGTGTTCCACAAGCCACATCGCATAGAGCTAGGATGCAAGTATTGTTTGAAGAGTAATATCTTGTGTAAGGAATTGACTTGCTGATAATATCTGCAAAGTAAATTCCTTTACCGAAGTTGTATCCTGCACAAGGAGCTTCAGGCGGAGCAATTCTGAGACCTTGTGATAGGATACCTCCCCAATTTGCAAATCCAGATCCATGCCACAACAATTTTCTGTTGCCAATATTTTTCTTGAATTTCTTAGACTCTCCATCTCTTGCAACTTTAAATGAGTCAATTATCTGAAGATTCCCATATCCAGCAGTCGTCAGCGTTGAGGTGATGTCTTTATAGTGCTTATCTTTCTTTGTGAAAGGCTCAATTTTGCAATTCATCTTTTGGTACTTCTGGTCTATCTGGCTCAACATTGAGTCACTGTTCTCGGCTTGTTTGTTGATCTCTGCAGCAATCTTGATGTCACGCAATGACTCCACAAGGCCTATAAACTGTTAACCACAATTCTTACCTAGCTTCTCTTTGAGCATCTCTTGTGTCTTGATTATGAACTGACTCATTGGTTTAAATCCAAAATCGTGTGGAATGTGTCTGTAGAATTCTGAGCTGAGCTCACTCAACTTGCTGGAGTTGGATTTCTTCTTCGCAAGTTCATTCTCGATCTTTTTAAGATACGAGTATCCTTCTTTGAGAGTGGCTTCAGAAAGTTTGCCGAGTGGAAGCTTCTTGACATTGAGTCCGATCTTTACCACACTTTTCTCGATCAGTTTCATATCAAATATGAAGTTGATGAGGTCCTGCACAGACTTGTCTAAGGTAGAATCATTCTGCTTTTTCTTGGATTTCTTTTTAGGCTGTTCTTCTTTAGATTCTTCTTCGTAGTCAATTTCAATTTCTGTGTATCCTTTCTTGACTTTAGAGCTTCTCTTCTTGTTGAACTCACTAGTAAGGTGAGCCAGATCTCTACAGAGAAGCTTTCCAATTTGGCCGTCTACTCCAACTCGTCCCCATCTGCTCCAGAGGTAATAGTTGGAGCCAGTTTTGAGTCCTTGGATGATGTAGAACTTATTGTTGTTGTGACCGCAGTCTGCAAACATCAAGTTAGCATTTAGAGGGCCAGATCCACCCATGACAACTTCGTAAGATGATGCACTTGGAATCTTATGATCAACAGGAACTCCATTAGTCATAACTAAGTTTCTTTGTTCAATCTTATCATCATCTTTTTGAGCAGCTTTAGTATCTCTCTTCTTAGTTTTAGTTGCTGCTGCAGCTTTGGTAGTCTTTGCTGCTTTTTTTGTAGCTTTCGGCGCTGCCTTAGTTGTTTTTGCCTTAGATACTTGAGCTCTAGTTCTCTTTTTGCCTGCCATGCAAACTATTTTATTTCTTATATTTATTAATTATAAATCTTTCATCGGGATTTAATAGTTGCGGGGTTTTGGGGTTTTGGGGTTTTGGGGTTTTGGGG